AAGCTTTTAAACAAGATTTTCCACAGTAAACAGTTTAAAAAAAGAAAGAAAAATAAATTTTAGTATATTAAATATTTTTTTTTTTTCTGGAAAAACAAAACTCCAAATAGAACAATTACGTCTGCTTCTCCATTTGTTAACTTTGTTTTTATTCTTTTAGCACATAAATTGAGGAATTAAGTTAACGTTATTTCTTACTTCAGATGCAGACACATCATTACCACTTATTACATTACACACACACCTTCTTTTGAAGATAACTTACCAGTTTTTTCCTGACATCTTGTACAGTCATATCATGTAAGTTTAAACTACAGTGTATGATGTAACTCAACAGTCACGTGATGTATTTAAAAGTATTTACTATTGATTTTTTGTAATGTATAATTAATTATTGTAGACATGTGACACCAATATACGGAGCTACTATACATAAATATTGAACTGCCGAGTTAAGAGGAGGGGGTTAGTAGTTTTTTTGTTAGCTGCTTATACAAACATTACCATGTAGGCATCAAGATATGAGTTTAATGTTTAAAACCAGTTAGCTTAGATACACATGTCCAGTGTTTATGAACTGTCCTTTGTAGCTTCTCTTTATGTAATGAAACGTTCTTGGGAATTCACTCCGTGTCTTTATTGAGCTAATCTAGGCTAATGTAGACAACTTAGTTTCCATTTACAGAACAAAATTGTCACAGCATGTAAAGATATTTTCATTTATCTTTCAATTTTTTTTTAATTGTTCTTTGCTTCAACTAGGATATTCATAATTATCAAAACTTTTATTTATTTTATTGGTATGAGCTAATATTTTCAAGTAAAACAACAGTATAAAAAAAGTTGAACTTTCATTTCAGGTGTGTTGTTTTCCATGTTATAATTACAAACAACATAGCTGTAAACTACATTTTTTAAGTACTTTCGAACAATTAAGGAAATCTAATAACCAAAAGTCTTTGAAAGGTACATCTTCCTTCCTTCCAACTTGCCCTGAAAATAATAAAAGTTTACCTAGTGGAGGTCTTTCACTAACAGGTTTCTTTGTGATTTTTTTTCTTATCTTTATTTTTTTCAAAAAATTCCCTAATGTTTCTTCATTTGTTTTAGTCTACCATTCTTTGCCATTGATAATTTCTGGAGAATAGGAGCTACAGGATATTATCAATTAGATGATACATCTTTAACATGAATTAACACATCATGACAGCAAATTCATTTCTCTTTTAGGAGTACGGTTGTGAAAGACTAGAAGCTTATTTAACTCTGAAGTCGAAACTTCTGAAGTCATAAAGAAAACATTCATCAGATTAAAAATACTTCCAGGAAACTCGAGATAGTGTCAAGATGTGAAGCCATTGGTTATAGTGATGGATTATGTTATTGTTTTGGAAAAATGCAGATCAAATGTTGCAGTGTTTTTTATTGTAAGTAATGTATATGTACGTAAGATGCTAAATTTGGAAACATGAGTCAGTCGTTAATATCTAGTGACAGTTTTTCTAATTTTAAAAATATGTATAGATCTTATTTATCAATAAGAAAGACAACTGTTGTTCGCAAGTGATATTATTACAAATAATTATTTATTGTTTATAGTGAGTATATCCTTTCAATGTGTACTTGTGATACGTTACGTATTCAGAGCATTCCAGCTTTTGATGAATATGTATCAAGATATGTCATCTAAGAAAAAACATTTTAAAAATAGGAAAAATTACAGTGGCTTTCATGGTGCTAGTTATTAAGTTTAAGTTACGTTTATTTAAGTTACTGACAGTTGGACAGATCATTTCTTCTTGTAGTTGGTTTAGTCATATATTTTAATATGTAAATTATATTCACACCTCGAGTTATCCAATTGATAGTGGCACCATTATTTATTGTTTTTAATCTTTATTTCTTGCAATAGTTCCTGGTTTATGTCCCATCATAGTCTTATTTTATACAGTTGATTCTAAAATTATCCCCTATTATTACATAAAAAGAGCAGTCAGGTTTTTAACTTTATTAATATCACTTTAAAATCTTCATATTTTACATAGAAATAAGATGTAGAAGTGCTTGTTGCTTTGTGAGAAACATTGTGATATCCAAGTTGTTTTCTAAAGATTTGGCTTTAATTATATATTTATAATGATAAATATGTACTTATCTTTTTTTTCTGTGTTCTCCTTTGAGTTTCATTTAGTTGTGGTAAACAGTATTTTCAAATGAAATCATCTTAATTTTAAGGAGCTGAAAACTGTCATGTGTTATTTAGCATTTGAAAGTTTTTTTGATTAGAATATATTTTTTAAGATTTATTAGTAGATTTCTTTCCACCTCTAACGCATATAAGATCCATAATTTAACGTATGTGATTTCTCCTATTGGGAAGAGAAGTCTATTTCTGAAACTGATTTCACTGAAACCAAAGGGATCAGACTTAAAGTGTATTTTTAACAGTGAAACATTGATTCTTATCAAAACACCATAACATCACTGCTGTTCCATCGTATCCTCAGTCTAACGTTTTTTTTTGTAACTAAGGCCCGATGATCCTAATTGTTTCCGTTAGTCCTGTGGCATCTGATTGGTTTACTTACTTGAAAGCTTTCATGTACTATCCCACCATTTGAAATCAGTTGAGATCTGTTTTTTTTTGTAACTAAGGCCCGATGATCCTAATTGTTTCCGTTAGTCCTGTGGCATCTGATTGGTTTACTTACTTGAAAGCTTTCATGTACTATCCCACCATTTGAAATCAGTTGAGATCTGTTTTTTTTTTGTCGTTATATCTGTTATTCTGGAAAACTAGTTATTTCCTTAATGATTTATTTTCAGTTCATGTCTGAGAAGCGTTGTTGACTCCTATTACATGAACTGCTGTTTCTGTACCTTGCTTTTCTACAAAGAATATTCCTCTGTAATTAGATGTTTAATTTCCTGATTCGTTAACTTGCATGATACATGTTGACAAGTGTTCTGTGTTGCAGTTATAATAGTTTTAATAAAATCTTGTTTCTCTTGTACGTTCTTTTGGTCGCCTCTATTTATCCCCTGTAATAAACAGGTATTTGCATCTGCTATATTCTTGTAGTCTATTGTGCACGACTTTGCACGTCCACTATCACTGCAAGTTGCTTGTTTTACAGCTGGAGTATCACATTAAAGTGAAAACTCTGCCTTAATGTGTTTTCCAGAGAGAGAGAGAAAGGTGTTATTGAGCAAAACATAAAACAGCATCTGTTTGTCAAGAATAATCATGAATGAGCTCTAACCAGAATGATATGGAATCACACCTTGAATCTCTTGAAGATATGTTGTTATTATAGGTGTCTTATGGTCCTTCTGTTTAAAGATTTCCATCAACAGTACCACTGAATGTAGTTATTGTGAATAGTTTTGATGTTTTACATTCAACTCCATTCAAGATAAAATAAATTCTCTTCCTGTACTACAACAGTTCTTAAGAACAAGGCATTACTAATGTGTAAATCAGTGCAATATAGGCGACCTGTACAAAACAAATAAATGTTAAATACAAGCCAATTAATAGTAGGTCAGAAATAAATAAATGTGTAGAAAATGTTGTGTGAAATATACCAAAGATCTAAACTTAAAACACTAACCCGTGTGACTGAGTTGGAGACAATAAAACACTAACCCGTGTGACTGAGTTGGAGACAATAAAACTAACCCGTGTGACTGAGTTGGAGACAATAAAACACTAACCCGTGTGACTGAGTTGGACAAAATAAAACACTAACCCGTGTGACTGAGTTGGAGACAGTAAAACTAACCCTTGTGACTGGGTTGGAGACAATAAAACACTAACCCGTGTGACTGGGTTGGAGACAATAAAACACTAACCCGTGTGACCGAGTTGGAGACAGTAAAACACTAACCCGTGTGACCGAGTTGGAGACAGTAAAACACTAACCCGTGTAGCTGAGTTATAGACAAATGTATATATGTTGGTAATTAAAATATTTATTAAACATAATGTGATCACAAACTTTCTGGTAATCTGTAGGCAACAAACATGCACACATACACCTACATAAATATTATCTACACAAGCTAATAAGAACTGAAACCTTACCTGAAATGTTTTTTTATCCAGTACAATAATTTATTGAAATATTACATTTGTGGACAAACGAGACATGTTGGCTTACAGGTTTAATACATTCCCACTTCTGCCAGTAGTGATATGTTTTTACTTTGTTTGAGGGTAGATAACTAGTACTATGTTTATCCTCCAAACAGCAGTTTTGAAGCAAATTCAATGTATTTAGAAATGATACTTGTGCTTTTGTGATGTATTGGATGAGGAAGCATGACTTTTCCACAAACCTAATGATATTGTCAATACCTGTAGCTGTCAAATACAAGATTACACAGAATAATATCAAAATATCAATGTTGTCACTCTTCAAAATGTGTTAGAAAATAATTAATTTATGCTGTTTGTGCTTTATATCGAATGAAATATTACATTCTGTATTTCAAGTATTTAATGCTTAACTTATGATTGCTGTTATTGTAAACCAAGACTGAAACATGTATGATAAAATAATTCAAAATAACCTACACTTGTACAAGATTATGTACATAAAATAGTGTTTTTAATTGGGTTTCCAGTGAAGCACACAACTTCTTCATCCGTACGCCTCGTAACCTTTGGAGGGGGTGGGGATATTATATGAAAATAATGAGGTTTTCCGATGACTTTAAACATGAAACTTTAAGTTGGCCAACCAAAAAATTCCATTTCAACTTAGTGAGTTTTAACACTATATTTGAAACTTAGTGGTTTATGTAATGTAAGGTTGTGTATTAATATTGTATGGTTATTTCGTAATTTTATGTAAATTATACAATATTAAAAATTTGATTTTTTAGCTGTTTCTTGGTTTCCATTTGTTCTTAAATGTAATATTTCTTGCTCTTCATTGTATTTATTTTATGATGAAAAAACAAAAGTTTTATAGAGTCGAAAATCAAAGCACGTGTTGTTAAAGAACAAAAAAATCAAAGCACATGTTGTTAAAGAACAAAAAAAATCAAAGCACATGTTGTTAAGGAACAAAAAAATCTGAACACACGTTGTTAAGGAACAAAAAAAATCTGAACACATGTTGTTAAGGAACAAAAAATCTGAACACATGTTGTTAAAGAGAAAAAAAAATCTGAACATATGTTGTTAAAGAACAAAAAATCAAAGCACACGTTTTAAAGAACAAAAAATCAAAGCACATGTTGTTAAGGAACAAAAAAATCAAAGCACATGTTGTTAAGGAACAAAAAAATCAAAGCACATGTTGTTAAGGAACAAAAAAATCAAAGCACATGTTGTTAAGGAAGAAAAAAATCAAAGCACATGTTGTTAAGGAACAAAAAATCAAAGCATTGATTTTTCGTCTAACTTTTCTCATATAAAAAGTACTGCTGGTGGCTTCCTCCTTTTGTAAGTTCTTGATTGAATGAATCACTAAACTATTTAAACTCAGCATGTGAGTACAACCATTCTAAGTAATGACCTGCTTGAAATATTTAAGGAAGGAGTCAAGTCTACCTTGGTTAACACCAGACTAAGACATCAGGAGCACTGCTTTGTGCTGGTGCCCAGGGATACCTATGTTTGGATAAATGTCCAGCTCCTGATTGGAAGGATGAGTTACCAGGGCAGCTTATTACCAGATTTCTTCACGGACCACAGTCGAAAGTCTTCACCACTTGGTGAAATCTACAGCCGGCAGATGTTGTCTAACATTGGTTCCCCTCGTCTCGTTTGGCGGGATAGGTGACAATTATCAGTTTGGGGGTTGGTCTTGATCATTCAGTGTGCGAGTGCGTTTTAGAGACTGTACTATTTGGTATCAGGACCACTAGTCAACATATTGACACCCAGTCATGCTTGCTCTCTGTGAAGTGAAGCCTACCTGTTCAGGAGGTTCCATGTTGCAGTTCTCCTTTCTGTATCAAGATAATAGTCACGGACCTTCTCAGCATTAATAAAGGATTCCCCTAAACACTACTGTTAAGAAAAATCTCTTCTACTTGCTCGTAAGTCATTAAACTTTCATATAAAGATTAAGTTTACAATGCACAGGTAAAGAATAACAGCAGCAGAAGTAACAGAAAAATTTGTAACAGATTCTGGAGACACGTCAACATTTAAATACTATTTTACTCTGTGGTATTACTAGGTGCACTGATGGATAAGGATAGTAATCACAGTGGTAGTATGTTATGTATAAATATATACGAATTTTGGACTCCGAAGAAAGAGACCAAACACAATGTAAAACAAGTAAGAATGACTGTCCAAGGCATCAAGGTCAGCCTCTGGATCTTTGCTGACTGACCGTCAGTGAGGATGATAACTTGACTATAAAACTCATGACAGACTCTTTCATTGCTTTAAACTCGGTCGAGTTCCAGAGAATTCATATTAACTCTATAAACTATTTTCTGTGAAAACCTTGAGTTGTTCTTAAAGGGAAAATCGATGTACCTAAGAATATCAGCTTTCACGAAGAGTTTCACTCACAGATGTTCGTTGTGGTGTGGTAGTTTCACTCACAGATGTCCGTTGTGGTGTGATAGCTATTTGATTATTTCAAAATTCAATTATGACGGCTAATCGGTAGATATAATGACAATATGTGCAACTGAAGATGATTGCAAGAAATTCAATCAGTGCTCACTAGATGGCATTAGAAATGCTATTGTGTTGATCTCTATCGAATTTATTCTGAATGGTATGTCATAAACACTGGAGAAAAGCACTTCTATTCTTTACTGTAGTTTTGTTGAAATAATATATATATCACTTATAAATACAGACATGTTAATATAAGTATGTGCTACCAAAAAAAAAAGATACTGAAAGTGTTAAATCTGTTTAAAGGTGTTTCAATTCAGTTCAAAAATCTTTAATGATTTGTTTCGTAATGCCAAGAGTGACAGCAAGACTAACAGATGGCAGCACGATATCATGATTGAAAGAGAGAGCAACAATGTATAAAGTACAATATGTATATATTTCGGAAACATTGCGTACAGCATTAGTTATTCTCGTTCCTATTTTCATCTATTCGGCTTTTTAATTTTAATCACTTATTGTCATTTAAAAATATATAATACTTACTCTTCTCTTCAGATGGCGCTACTATTGGTACAGTTAACGTAGAGATTCTACAAGACAAAAAATTTGCTTTTACAAAAAATAAAAAAAAATGCTTTGATTCACGACCAGTTTATATTAATGAACGTTTACGTAAACATTGTTGTTGCTGACTGTATGTTATTTTTTGCGACATAACTGTTTGAAGGCTTTTCGTTACACCGGTTAATTTACCGAGAAGTTAAGCTCTAAACGGCAGATCACATACAAAAGTCACTCAGTCAAAGAGCACGTCACGACGTCCCAGATTCAGCGTTACTCTTGAACGCAGGTTAGCTCCAATCACGAAAATTTGGTGAGTAAATAAATTCTAACGTTAGATAAAATTTTGACATTAGCAAGTGTGCGTCGTACGCTTTAGTTAGAAGTTGTATTATTCTATAACTGCTTCATATTGGTGTTATACGTGCAATTAACCATTTAAAATCATTATCAGGTATTTGTTTCTATTGTTACATCATTTTCTGCACTTAAAGTTGAATTTAAACTTTATAACTCAAAACTAATATAATAATTTAGCTATAGACTAATATAGATAGTACCAAACCACATAGTAACTATTAGTAATAGTAAATAAGTAATACTGTTGTATTATTATTTTTACTGGTAGTAAGTTGTTCTTTGTTTGATGTACTCATATTTTATTTATTACAGAATTATTACATGGTTCAATAAGTGCAGAAATAATTGTTTGGCAAATACCAGTGTTATAATAAAGTAGTAATGTTTGAAATAGTATTATTTATTAATTTTAAAACTTGGACTACAGATACTAATAGCTCTACTGTACTTCAGCTCTAGACAAAAAAAAACAAAAAAACAGCTAATGAAAAATGTTGAATGCTATATGAATTTGGGGCATTATTAGATCAGTCACTGAAAAAAAAAAACATTATAATTTAACAGGGTTAAATTCAGTGAGGATTACAAATTAGTTATGCTATAGGTTATTTTATTCATAGCCCCAAAACATTATAATTCAGGTTAATTTGAGTTGAACTTATGTTGGAGTAGTTGTGTAACCATTAATACTTTGTGACTAATATCCATATGATACGAATTATTCCAGTTGGTTCAAATTAAGATTTTTTTTCTTATATCCCATACCAATTTTTTAATAAATAAATCATATGTAAATAAGCATTTTTTTTTTTGTAAGAGGCATTATCCATATCAGGTGCAAGTTTCAAAACTAAGCCTTCTTTTTTTTATGATATAACTTAAAAGTATATTCCACTGTTACTGTTTGAAAATGTATGTAAATATTTTTGAATTTGTTATTGACCAAGGAGTTTTGTTTGAAAGATAACAACAAGAATTTGTGATTGTAAGCACCAATGTGATTTTGTATGTTTAACAGTGATTGGTAGGAGTCTCTTTGTTCATCTTAGCATTTGAAAACTGTTAAAACGAAAGAGAAAACTAATATTATTTTCTTTCAATCATACTGTAAAGAAACAAATGTAGTTACGAAATTCATATTAATTGCATCTAGAATATTCGTATGTTGTTTATTTATTCACGAGAACCTTAAACATACAATCCAGTTTGGATCATGTTTTAACGGATACTTTATACAATAGTTACCATCCTCTTTATATTGTTATATTTTCCTTACTTTCAGTCATAAGTTATTAGGATTACTTATTGAATAAACTACTGAACTTAATAGTTTGTAGTAACAACCATGAAATCAGCCT